TGCACCATTTAAGAGAAAAGAAAATGAGTCAGTGTGAGCTGCCAACAGCTGGCTGACAACCTTGAGCACTGGGTGGGTTGGAAACCGTCCAGACTTTGCATAAGGAGTTCATTTTGGGTTAGTTTAAAAAAAGGCGGGGGGAAGGAGTTGGCCCAGATCCTGTTCTACAAATTCAGGAACAAGGAGTTGAGATTCCCTTCAGAAACTGCTGGAGGGTGGCTCTGCAGGTCCGTTTGCCAAACACTATTTGACATCTGCTTGTTTCCCTGCCTGATACAAGAAGAACCGTTAACTGTCCAGGTTTTTCCTCTGACAAGCCAAGGATTCAATGCAGCAGTTGAACCATGTGAAGGTTAATTCCCTCTTTTCTCTATATCCCTTTTAGAAAGATGTATTATTTCTACAGACTTCAGATTTTTTTAAGCTTCTTTGTCTTCTTCCTCTTGAATCTTATTCACCCTCACTTTGGGTTTAGCTTATTAGGCTGAGGCTAATTTCAGTAGCATAATAAAAAACTTCACATTCGTTAAAGAATTAAATCCCCTTAGTTCTCTAATGTGTCTCACCTTTTCAAAGTAGTAAAAGTGTCATGTTTCAAACAGTAATAGTCATTTTTAGTTTCAAAGTAACAAGTGGTCAATGTAAAAAAGATTAGACAATGCAGAAAGGCATAAAGAAAAGAGTAAAAATCAACTGAAATCCAACCACTGGAGAAAACTAATCACCATTAACATTTAAATATATATGCTTGCCATCTTAGTTTCTTTTATTTTTCTTACAAAGGTAGTTATAAGTTATTTGGTAATCTGATTATTTTTACATATACATTGGACATATTTCCATGGGAATACAACAGATCACTATCACTGTTTTTAAGAGGTACACAGTACTTCCATGTATAAATGTTCGTTGACTCATATTAATAGACAGTTTTGCTAATACAAATCATGCTGCAATGAACTCCCCTGTACATACATCCTTGCCCACTTGTCCAATTACAGCAGGTACTCACTTAATGTCCCCTATAGGTTCTTGGAAATTGTGACTTTAACGGAAACAACTTTAAGCAAAACAACACATAAGGAAACCAATTTTACCAAAGGCTAATTGATATGAACAAGAGTTAAGTTCCTACAGCATATTTCTGGTCACTAAAATATCAAACTTCTAAATAAAGACCCCGAACACTTGTAATATTAAACATTAAAATAAATGTGAGCTATACATACATTTTTAAAAGATTAATAAAAACAAGTCAGGTCATTTTTTACCCAATTATTCCAGTTTAGGGTCTTGGGTGACCAGAGCCTGTCCCAGCAGCTCAGGGCACAAGGTGGGAACTAACTCTGGACAGGACGTCATCCTATCGCAGGGTCACTCACACGCTCACACACCCCCACTCAGACTGGGCCATTGAGACAGGCCAGTTCACCTACCATGCACAGCCTCGGGATATGTGAGGCAACGGGAGAACACGGACAGAACCCACACAGACATGGGGAGAACATGCATACTTCACGCAGACAGTGGCCCCGGCAGGGAATCAATATTTTTTCTTGTCAATGTTGCAAGAAAATGATGTTGAATGACAGACACAACATTATTCTAGGACCTACTGTATTTCTTTATAAGTGCCTCTGAACAAACTTTGCTAGATCAAGTTATACACATATTTTTTAAGACCTCTGATACATAGTGCCAAATTGCCCTCCCATAGAAAAGCTGTACTTGTTAGTCAATGTCACTGATTTTGTAAGAGTGTGCTTTTTCCCTCCTACTCTTACAAATACTGGGTATAAGCCCTTTTTCCTAATTGAAAGATAAAAATTGGTACCTCCATATTTCACTTTCCTTCTTTAATAACAAGGTTAAATTGTTTCTGTATGCTTACAGCTATTTATATTTTTTCTTTTTTGAACTGTCTGTTTTTTCTTGCGTCCATTTTTCTATTGGGATTTTTCATATTTTCCTTCCTGATTTGTAGGAACACATTATATACAAAGGTGAGACCTTCTGGGCTGTATTTCAGAAGCTTGATTGTCCCATGAGATGTTAATAGGTGAACTGAGGGAAAAAAGACTTCCGTGGTCAGATTTAACACATCATTTCCTAAACTTCATTGACCATGAGGACTTTTTTCTTTTCCTCACAGAACACGCATTGGCATGGTTCAGGACACTGGTGTTCTGACAACTAACATTTGAGAAATTGTTCTGTAAAGGATACTAATGCTTTATCTGTTACATATGTGGCGTGACTCCCCCTCCTCTGCCAATCATTTGTCCTTTCCTCTACATGTTTTTTCCAAATAGCTTTTAATTCGTGTATTCAAATCTCTCAATATTTTCTTTTGTGGTAATACAGAAGTAGGAACCCTGAAGTCATACTCGTTTGCTTTGAATCCTGGCACTACCACTTGTTGGGACCTTTGGAAAATTACCCTCTCTGTGCCTCAATTTTACCATCTAGAAAATGAGAAAAACTAATGTTACCAAATAAAGTGGTTGTGAGGATTAAATTACTTGACACAAGTAAAGCATAAAGTATTAGATGTTGTTGATGATGATGGTGGTGGTTTACATTTTGGATCATTTAGAAAGTCTCTCTCCTTCTCTGTTGTAAAAGAAAAAAAATGCCCATATTTTATTGTCATATTTTTATGGAAGTTAATTTTGATATGAGCTATGGACTAAATAATTTTCTCTTTTCCCCAGTGCTTAGATTCTTCCATTGCCGTTAATTGATTAATGCTCTCCTCATCATATACTATACTTTCTTTTTCTGAGTCTTTCTCTTCTGCTCAGTCTATTCTGATACCAAGGCCCCTTCTTTCCTGTTCCTTTTCAGAACATTCACAGCTACATTTGCCTAAATCAAGGGCACATGTTGGATTCTCTCTGGGAGTTGCCCCAAGAGACCCTTGGTAGTGGAGAGGGGCCTGCAGGGTGGGATCCAGGTGTCTCTGATACGGGTGAGAAATGTGGATCCTACAGACTGTGAATTTTAACTGACAGTGTGCCCTGTTCATCCCCACGTGCTGCTGAGGCCTGATGTTGAGGGACAGCCTGGGGACTCTCTCAGGAACATTTAAACTCCAGTGTTGTTCATCAAATCACAGAAAAGGTGAGATCCTCATACTCTACCTGGTCCCTCCCCTTTCTGCTGCACCAGTCAAAATGACCTTTAAATGACCAGAAAAGACTTGATTAGGGGCAGAGGAGATTCTAACCTGACACATCCTAAGCTATGGAAAGAGAGCCAACTGGTCTCAGTTGATAGGAAGATTTGATACTAGGAGGCTCCATGAAGGTGATACTGGAGCACCATTGAGGATGTTTCACTCTGAGCTGAGAGTCCTTGGGTTGCCTGTCAGGCCCAGCACAGCCTTCTTTTCTGCACATCATCTCTTGCTCACTTGGTTCCAACCACACTGACCTCTTTGTTGTTCCTCAAACATGCTCCCACTTTAGGGCATTTGCACATGGTTTTTCCTCTAGAATGTTCCTCCCCTCCCTCTGACACCCACATAGCTTGTTCCCATGGAACTTTAAGGCTTTTGTTCCAATGTCACCTTGTCAGTGATGCCATCCCTGACCACTCTATTGAAAGCTGTGCCTGGAGATCCTCAACCTTTCTTGCCCTGTTTTTCTCCACAGTGCCAGTCACTGTCTGACCATCTATTTCCTCATTGTATTGCTGATTGTCTCTCTCCCGTAGAATGTGAGCTTCGAAGAGTCTACCTTCTGTTTGGTTTCCTGCTGTACCCTCAACAGCTAGAACAGAGACTGACATATATAGGACTCCACTATTGTTTGTAGCTGGAAGAGAAAATGAGTGTATCAGTCAGGCAAAGTCACTTGCATAATACTTTATGATGTGTCCAGGCCCAGTGACAATAGCATGTTTTCTGAGAATGTAGGATGACTTAAAGGACTCTGGATTTTTTTTTTTTTTTTTTTTTTTTTTTTTTGAGACGGAGTCTCGCTCTGTCGCCCAGGCTGGAGTGCAGTGGCGCGATCTTGGCTCACTGCAAGCTCCGCCTCTCGGGTTCACACCATCCTCCTACCTCAGCCTCCCGAGTAGCTGGGACTACAGGTGTCCGCCACCAGGCCGAGCTAATTCTTTGTATTTTTAGTAGAGACGGGGTTTCACTGTGTTAGCCAGGATGGTCTGGATCTCCTGACCTCGTGATCCGCCCACCTCGGCCTCCCAAAGTGCTGGGATTACAGGCGTGAGCCACCGCGCCTGGCCTGGACTCTGGATTTTCAAGCTAGCCTCTACAAATAAGATATCTCTAAAGTGGGGAGAAAGGCTGCTGATATGGTTTGGCTGTGTTCCCATCTAAATCTCATCTTGAATTGTAGCTCCCATAATTCCCACGTGTCATGGGAGGGACCCAATGGGAGGTAACGGAATCATGGGGGTGGGGTTTTCCTGTGATGTTCTCATGATAGTGAGTAAGTCTCACGAGATCTGATGGTTTTATAAAGGGCAGTTCCCCTGTACACACTCTCTTGCCTGCTGCCGTTTAAGATGTCCCTTTGCTCTTCCTTCCTCCATCTTCTGCCATGATTGCGAGGCCTCCCCAACCATGTGGAACTGTAAGTCCATTAAACCTCTCTCCTTTATAAATTACCCAGTCTCAATTATGTCTTTATTAGCAGCATGAGAAAAGACTAATAGAGCCGCATCTCTCAAAAGCGAGAACAGACATATGTCTGCGGTAACATCTTTTATTTGATGCCCTAGCTTCATTCCTGGGCTGCCACAGAGCCACTCAAAATGAAATTCAAATTCTAACAACAGTGAGATACCACCACACACCCACCAGTATGGCTACAATAAAAATGCAGAAAATACCAAGTGTGGGAGAGGATGGGGAGGAACTGAAACTCTCATACACTTTGAAAAACTATTTGGCAGTATCTTCCAAAGCTGCATGTGCACATATCATGACCCAGCATTTTCACTTCTGCATATCACCCAACAGAAACACCTACCTATGTCCAGCCAGAAGACAGGCAGGCACAACGTTCACAACAGCACTGTTTGTAAGGGCCAAAATCTGGAGCAAAAAATGGAGAAAAATAGTAAAATGGATGTGGTATATCCACACATATACTACACAATATATGAAATGCATGATCTATGACCACGTGCAATGATATAGATGAACTGCACAAACATAATGTTGCACCAAAGTCAGACACAAAATTGTATAAACTATGAATACGCTTCCATCAGTATAAGATCTATAAACAGGCAAAGCTATCCATGCTGCTAGAAATCCAGAGTGACTAGAAAGGAGGATTAAGGAAGCTTTGGGATGCTGGTAATATTCTGCTTCTTTACCTGGGTTCTGGTTACACAGGAATATTTAGTTTTTGACGACCCATCAAGTTGTACACGTATATGTGAAAATCTCTGTCTATAAAAATGTTTTGAAAACTAGGTCCATATATCAGAACCACCAACTGGAGTTGCAGGCCACACATTTGCTAAAGCTGCTTGTTACAAAAAGCTGAAACTATTCCAGGATGCACTGCTCCAGCACTTGGGGTGGAGGTGGGGGGAGAGGAGGAGGTAGGGGGTGGGGAGGGAACGTTCTGACTCTGGCTGGGTCACACCTCTGAGATGCTGCAAGAACAAAGAACAAGAGGGGCCAGGTGTAGATGGGAGAAGGTGACTGGTAGACAGCCTCGGGCTTTCTGAGGTATCTGAGGTCTTTGATGGCCTCAAGGCAAACACTGCCTCCTGTCAGGCTCAGAACAGTAAAGACCCTCCAGCCAGCCTTCCTGAGTGCCAACAACCACAGGACTATGCAGGTCTAATTTCTAACCAGACATGAAGGGAAGGAGAATGATCTCCGCTGATAAACCGAGTCTGGAAACTTTGTTACAGAATGCAGTAGAAAAAAAGACAGGAGAGAGGGAAAAACATATGAAGTGGTTCTTAAGTAATTTCTAAGAAGGAAGCTGCAGCAGGAACTCTGGCTACATACCAGAGATTGCCCTTTTATTTCTTTCACTTAATAACATTAAACAGGAAAAGAAGGAATGGCAATTCAGGAACTTTAAGGTCCCACTAGGACCAGTGTAGAGGAGGATTCATCCTGCACCAGACCTATAGGCATGGACTATACCGTGCCCATGGTGCCAATTAAGCTTTAAGGATCACACTTGCTAGCATTGGAGAGGTTAGGGGGTCAGGGAGAGGTGGTACCTAAAGAAGGAAAAAGACGACTATCTGTGTTAGACCACTCTTGCATTGTTATAAAGAAATACCTGAGACTGGTGATTTATTTAAAAAAAAAAAAAAAAAGAGGTTTAATTGGCTCACGGTTCTGCAGGCTTTACAGGAAGCATGGTTCTGGCATCTGCTCAGCTTCTAAGAGATTTCAGGAAACTTAAATCATGACGGATGGTGAAGGGGGAGCAGGCACATCACGTGGCAAAAGCAGGAGCAAGAGAGACAGAGGGTGTGGGGAGGGGAAGTACCACATATTTCTAAACAATCAGATCTCGTGAGAAGTCACTCACTATGGTAAAGACAGCAACATGCCATGAAGAATCCACCCACATGACCCAAACACGTCCCACCAGGCCCCACCTCTGGCACTAGGGATACAATTCAACATGAGATTTGGGCAGGGACAAGCATTCAAACTATATCACCATCCCGTAACATCCTATGGTTGTGGAAGGGAAGGGAATGGGCAAAATCGGTGGTTGAATTTTGTTGACAACCAAAACTTGGTGGACAACCCCTTTTTGGTATCCCAGTGGTAGAAGCCATTTGGAGAAGGTTGGGAAGTTGAATCAGCCCAGGATTTGTGTGGTCTCCAGCCTTCCAGGAACAAAATCATGCTGGACAAAAACTTCAGACCTCCACCCACAGGATCTAGAAAGGCCAGGATGGAAGAAGCCACAAGGAAAGGTGATACTTAGAGCTCAGTGGTGCTGGTTAGGGAGTCTTTAAGGACACTTGAGAGCCAGCATCTGTGCCCTCATCCTGGCTTCAGATTCTGTGGCCTAAGTGCTAAAACCTCCCACCCACTCCTACAGATGTGAATCAGAGTCAGGGAAAAACTGGGGGTGGGTGGTGGGAGTCAGAGAAGAGAAGAGCACACCAAACCCAGGGTATTATGTGAGAGGGAGCTGGATCCATAGGGCCTGCTCTGCATCTGCAAGTCCAGATGCAATTGCAACATACTTGGGCAGTTGGCATCGCTACCTGTGTGCAGAAGGCTGCACAAACAGGAAGAGGAAATATTCAAGCACTGGCTCATTCATTTTAACTCCAGAGAGTGTCTAAAACAGATCCCCAAGAGCACGGAAAGTTTCAGATTTGTAGCCAAGCAGATAAAGATGTGGCTAAGGAGGGTATTCCAAGCCAGATGCCAAGTGTATGCCCTCTGTGAGTGCAATGTGCATTACCCATGGGCCTAGAGCATTCTAGAATAGATATGCAAAATACATGACCACTTAGGGAAAGTTGAGATGAGTCACTCTTTCGAAGTGTAACCATTTAAAACATCACACTTAGTATCTTTGAGCCCCATAGCACATGCACTGTGAAGAATAAAAATTCAGATAAAATTTAGACTTGCATGAACAATTGTTTTTTTTTTTTAAATAGACACCAAAGGAAACTCAAACCCAAATTCTAGATTCAGAATGCCCAACACTGCTTACCAGAGACAATGGTTTTCGGTGCAGGTTTTAAAGAGTGGTAAGTATTAGATTCCGATGCTAAGCGGCACAAAGAGAAGATAGTTTTGTTGCTCACTCAGTGGGTTTTCTCAGTTTTAGACAAAGGCCACAAGGGATCTTGGGGGGCTCCAGACACTATCTAGTAATTGACAAAAATGATGATCATGATATGAAATACCTGGAGTGCTAATTTCTTTAGAAACCAAATTATATAAGACCTTTGAGGCATGTGAATTTTCATCCTCAAAGTTCAGAACTGCCTGGAAGAATCAGAGTTGATATTGTTCATTTTTAAATACTGTACAAGTTCTGCTAGATGGCTAGCATCATAATGGGGTAAGAGCAGATCCTGAATAGATCTTTCCTAGCACCCTTAGCCATTTCCCATGAATCTTAGAGAATCAAAGACCTATAGGCTTAGTGGATACTAAGGGAGATTTGAAGATAACCATGCCATGAAGGCGAAGCCCTTCTCTGACCTGACCCAAGCATGTCAGGCCAGAGACAGTAAGAAAAGGCACCAGAAAAGGCATTCCATGGATAAAAGAGAAGCTAGGGCCCTCCACCCTTTTGAACTCTTTGAAAACTGGAAAGGGAAGGCCTGTAAGCAGATGCTCGGACCCTCATGATCTCTTTCAGCCAGGTTCTTGCACTATATCAGCTGATGAAGTCCTTTCCTTCAGTTTAAACGCGTGGACTCCTGTACTGAGGGCTCAGGAGCTGTGCTTTCTGACATAGCAGGAAGATATCGGGAAGGTAGCTAAATTCTACTGGCAGAAGCTTAAACTATGTGAGATCTAATATCAATATCCTGTTTACAGATCAGAGCCATTGGCACATAGTTAGGCGGTGAGACACCAATTCTAGGAGGTGTGTATATAAGGTGGAGGGGTGATCCACAGAAGCTTCCCCTCTGTGTTCTCCAGGGCCAAGCAAGACATGACACGGAAGTAGAGGGTGGTCGTTTTGGTTATACAGATGCTGCATCTCTTGAAGGAGTCAGAGGCATGTGAGATTCCCAAGGTCCTAAGGGATCTGAGTTCCTTTATGCCGGAAAGCTCGAGCTTTCCAAGATAAGACCAATGGTAGCTCTCACTTATGTGGCTCTGGTAAACCTAACTGCTCCAGCCAGGAGGGACGAGATGGAAGCTCAGCATAGGAGGTGGTCAAGGAAAGAAACCTAGGACCTCTGAGGTTGAACTAGTGTATTTTTTTTTCAAGTAAATCTGAATTTTGCATTGAGATGGGCACAGATTAGAACAGCTTAAGGGTGTATTATTAAAACGAGTGCTGAAATATTATCTATGAAGACACTTTCCCCCAAGAATACTGTGGTATGGTTTTGAAGACCTCATAAGGCTTGGGATGGAACATAGTATGTGACTGTTGCAATGCTTTACACCTTCTGGAAATCTGTAACTGGAGGGCAGAACTCTAGTGGAGGGTTTCACTTATAAGTCTCACCCTAACAGTGTTGGTGGTACTTAAAATAATAAATTGAAAAAAATTATATTAAGTTCTCTAAACTGAAATTATGAAACATATGTCACCATCCATACCTGTGAGCATTATCCTTGTACCTTTTCCTTGTCTCCCCTGGGGATCTCGGAGAGGCCTCCCTTGTTTTTCAAGTGAATCATATAGCAGTTTATTCCTTGATCTCTAGTTCCACAGTTCCTCTCCCCACTTCCCTCAGTATCTTTATTTCCCTTCAAATTTCACTTTACGGGTCCCTTCATCTGATCAGTGAGTTTCTTGCCAAACATATTTTAAGACCTTCTGGAAGTACCTTGCCAATAACCCATTGCCACATCAGTTTTTAAAAAGGTTGCCAACTCTTCATTATTCTCCATATTCTCTTTTTGATTTCAAGGATAACAAGATCAATCAGTGTGGATGTAACCTGTGTTTCTCAAAGCCTCTCTGGACTAGGGTTTTAAAAGAATCACACTAAACCCTTAATTACTCCCCTTTTCTTGTTCTCCCTTCTCTGCTCTTGTCCTGGAAGAGAGATCATGACAAAGGATCGCTTATAGTGAAGGAGCCACTCCTTGGCTGGCAAGAGGCTCTCCTAATCCACTACAAACAATTAGTCTCAATCCTGGCTTTCAAATAGAAGCACCTGGGGAGCTTTTAAAAAGATGCTGATGCCTGGGTCCTATCCCACACCAGTTAAATCAGGAACTCTTGGGATGAAGCCCTAGGGTTGATATTTTTTTAAAACTCTGCAGTGTGATTCTAATGTGCACTCAGTTTCAAAGCACTGTTACGAGCCGTGGTTAGCCATGATCCTTTGTTGAGCATCTATTTGCAGCCAGATGTCAGCCCACACAATCAGGGCATAAAGGAGCAG